ATGATACTGAATCGGGGAACGGGAAATTGGTAAAATGGGAACAAAACAGATAGTCTTCATTTTACACTGCCCCGCTTTAAATTACTTCCATTTTGTTTCAAAATTCGAATGTAAACTCGGGGCGTGAAAATATGCTTATCCGCAGAACATTAGATGCCAGAGTTCTTGTTTCTGAAGAACAGCACCTTTTCCAACTGCATGGTAGGAAATTCAACGCACACGGCCAGAACAAACGCTGAAGCGTACGCAAACACCACTATCGACACAAAGTACAAAGCCTGCAATAAACAAGAAGGTCATTTCTCACTCTCGTTAACAGTTCACGAAAAGGAAACGTGAAATTACAATCCTAAGACCCCTGGTTGTCTTGCTGGTAAGGCTGGCTGACTGGCTGAATGAACGTTTGACTGAATGACTGACCAACTGCCCGACTGACTAGTTGACTCAGACTAGTTGACTGACTGTTTGACTGAATGGCTTTTAAACTGACTGACTAGCTGACCAACTGGCTGACTGACTGACCGTCTAGCTTACTAGCTGACTGTCTGTCTGACTGACCGATTGGCTGACTGATTGACTGAATGGCTGACTGACCGACTGACTAACTGTCTGACAGGCCTACTGACTGACTGGCTGGCTGCCTGACTGATTGACTGGCTGGTGGAGTGGCTCACTGTAGTTCTGGCTGACTGACCACCTGACAGCATGGCTGACTGACTCCGACTCTAGGGTAAATGGTAGGTAGTTCACTGATGCACCAACCACTAAAGAAGTAGCATGAGAAGGAGGTACTGGCAAAGGGAGGAGATGTTAAATGAACTTACGAAGATCTTGTCTGTGTACTCCGTAGTATGTTGGAATGACCCAAAATATACATTCATAACGATAGGGTGAAGCAGATAAGCACTGTATGTCAAACGGCTCAGTGGGATCCAGTACGATGCAGAAAGGAACTTGTTCACAAGACCTAAAATAAAACAAAACAGGTTCAACCGTTCTAATGCAGCCTTACGATATGCACAGCACATCCTTGGTAATGCACCCAAGTGTGGATTACGAAAACAGTTAATTTTTTTTTCAGGTAAAATTCAGCGGTCGCTAACAGCAAACATACACTTTTTGTAACACTATGAATCAAGAAAGGGCCAAAGGTAAAAAAAAATTTCTTGACTTCCTCAGGAGCAATCTATGAGTCGTGACAAACCAAGGGGATCCTTTAGATTTGCTTCGCAAATTATCAGAGACAATTCTTTCAACTTCATCGGTGTTCAGTTCTTGTTGTGTGGAAACAACAAGGGGGTCATCTTACATGAGGATTCAGTTCCTCCCTGATGGCAGCCTTTTTGTATTGATTATTACAAATAAAGTTGTTATATATTAAATAAATTAAATAAAAATAAATTGAAACCATCTTTTGCCTATGAACTGATGGCTGACAGCTTTGAAGCTGGCTGCTATGGCCTTTGTCCAGTTAAAAGCGTTTTGTATTGATATTCCCCAAATACACTAACTAGAAGACGATACATAAATTTTCATCAGATGTGTACAAACGTCATCAAATAACGCGGAGAAGATGTTACATACGTAATCAAGATTTATTTAGATAAAACCCCAAATATCCGACCTCCTGACTCGTCCCCAGTCGCGTGCGATGACTTTATGGAGATATTTGATCGACTTTGCTAAGGAAAGCGGGGGCGAAAGGAGTAATGGGAAGGAACAAAATGCGAAGTGACTTTCCCCTTTCTCTCTCTTTTCTTCCCATCACTCCCCGCTCGCACTCTGCGTTCGTTCCCATCATGCCCCTCTCACGCTTCTCTCTTGTCACCAGCTCTCGCGCTTCTTGCTTGTTCCGTGCTCCACACTAAGCCTTGGAAAAGCCTGTGGAGAAGGCAGTCCGACCTCACTAATGGTGACCACCATGTGAATACGTTAAAACAGTCAAACCGCTCGTAGGCGATCAACCAAAATGCCAAGACCTGGGTGCTTACAATTTACACAAAACCACCCGGGTGGAACCCTTGCGCATAAACATAAAACTACAAAATTTGACGAGGTGGAAGAACGAACCGACACAAAGTAAATCCAAATAAGCTGAACACACTAAAATCACAGCCCATATTTTCTGACGCTACCCAAACGGAATTGCGCGAAACACCTGATTTTCCAACAGGAATTTCCGGTTTCCCACGTAGATGGAAAAATACCCTTGGTGTGTACTTCTGGTAAATGGATTTGAGTAATCTGAATAGGTGGTCGCAGGTGCAGGTTTAGCCGTAAAAAGGTTCTACAACATTAACGTGGTAATTTTCTTACTTCCATATCCTTTGTGACAGGCATAGACAACCCAAGCAACAGCCAGTCCCCAAACAAACCGACTAAAAGTGCCATAAATGATGTTTTCTGCTTGGTTGAACGGTCTTCCTCCTTTCTTATTGACAGTGTAAATTCCATATACAACGGTAATGCCAAGGCCAGCGCCCACAAACCAACCGACCAAGCAAACAAGTTGCCTTGGTATTTTATTCTGAATAAAAAAAGAAAGTGTCAGATGAATGATACAAACGATAATTTGCTCACGGAGGTCACAAAATGTTGGAAAATAAAGGGCTGGTGGCTAGTCCCTAAGCCTCATTATTCCACGCGGCCTATGCGTTTCTGGTCACGTGGCCCGAACGAGTAACTGAAATGCATTGACCGAGAAGGCCTGGGAAGACACTGTACAGGGACTAGGAATCATTGGATGTCTCCCTTTCACTGAGGCGAATCGGATCGGGGAACCGTTTCTCGAAAGTCCCGGTAACTTTGCAGCCCCGAAGGCAAATTTTAAAATCAAAACCAGTTGTATAGTTCGCTAAATCCCATCGGACAAGGTTTCCTCCGGGTACCTTTGATGTACCAGGAATATGCGCAACAAACAACTTCAATTAACGGCGCAGTGAATTCGTGGGATTTGACTGTAAAATGCTCAACTAAAAAAAGATGTTTTGCTAGACAAATGTTTAACACGCGAATCAAAAGAGTGACATAATTCAAAAGTACTCTCAGAAATGAATAACTTAACTCTGATTTTCACAAGATAAAGTCTTTGAAATGCAGAGCTACTGTTATGTCTCTTGACTGGCTCAGGTAGCACTTAAAAAGGTGACTCTCACCTACTCAAACAGTCACCTCTTGTATTGGGAAAGTACAATTAAAACTCGAATTCATCTGTCTGCTACTCACCAAAGGATTCTTGGCCGGAGCACTTTTTTCAATGAAAAGCAGGTAGCCAAGTGCAATTCCCACGAGATAGGGAGCAATACGGCAGTATGGCTTGATATA